TTTGATAGCCATGTACTCAGTTTTGTGAAGTTCGGTTTCGATGCTATTTTGACGCTGACGTCGTTCATCTCTTGGATTCACGTCTGGAGTTTTTCTGGGGACTTTTTAAAGTATCGTAATATCATAGTAAATCGAGGGAACTCCGCTGTAGGCGGTGCCCAGCCCGGCGGAGAAAGGAGGAGAGTTGGAGACCGGGTGAAGTCTCCCTAAGAGAGGTTTAAGTACTGTAAATTCACCTTCAGCACAATTTTCACCTTAACCGGTGCCTGGATCCATCTGCTAGTTGGCTTGCATCGTTACCGAATGGATGACAGGCATATCGGTTCGAATACGGGTTAGGTAATTCCGCTGGAGCTTTGACATGGCTTCGTTTTCGACCTAACAACAGCTTGTCGACGGTCACGATATGGAAGTCTCTTAAAAGCCTTAGGGCATAAGCTTATAAAGATTTTTCAAGTCTTCCCAGTTTTAAGTCACTTGTAGAAGCCGCATGACCGGGATTCTATTCCGGACTACGCCACACGTTAAATCTAGTTGAACCGCCTGCCCCCCCCCAATCTGTCCATTCGACCGGAAACAAATTTCGGTGTGATGATTCGGAAAGGATTAACCGTGTGGGTCTCATGTTTGCACCATAATCACATGTCTGAACTTGTCGTGAGAGTTTCAGAGGTAATTATAGTTGGAACAAACTTATTCTGCCCAATAAACTTGGTAGTGAATGAAGATACGAAGCGTAGTGGTTCGGGTGGAACAGAAATCACTTTCGTCTCCATCAACTTCCTGCCTCGCTATACCTCAACATCTACAGGCATTCGATTAATTAACGCTTGCAAGTCACTGACGTCAAACGAACACAACTGACATTACAGCTTTTCTTCACTGGGATGTGAAGTAATCCCTTGATTAACACTATGACGTATCATCGTGTTGAAAATTGTCAACCTGACATTGACGTACTGCAATTCCCCGCCATTTAGGCTGAGCCGGCCAGCGAAACCTGAGTGTTTGAAATGACGAGATTTTCAATGACTCTCTCAAGTTAATTAATTCTCGATGTTCGAAATTTGAAGCTTTTTTATTCATAAATATCACGTTTTTATTACATTTATAAAAATCTGAGGAAATGATCAAACGTCTTCGAAAATATGGGTCCAAGACGTGGTTTTTTTATAAAGAAGCATTCATATGGCCTCCACGCTCATTAGAAAGTGGAAAGATTGCTTCGAAATGATCTTAGCTAAATGGAATGATAAACGGATGACTGGAGTTAATTTCGAAGGCGCGGCTAAAGGGCGAATACGAATTAGCAGTGTTTTGCATTGAACTCGGTGGTTGTTGTGGACGAATCAGAAATGCTGCATATCATAATGATACTCAATAACGTAAACGTATTCATTAAGGCGAATCTGGACTGCCCTGGCAATCCTATTCAACCACAATGTCCGGCTCATGAATCGAGACGAAGCCTGAATCCTGACCCACGGGAGCAGAAGATGTCAGTCACAGAAATTCCGGGTGAAACTTTGGCGTGTTGTGGCATGAAAGACGAGGGCGTCTGTAATCGTTGCCGTTTCCTCACACGCCTCATTGGATTTGTCCAGATATTGGAGAGTTGCAGTCCACATAATTTTGCCCATGGCGCTGCTTGTTGAGTCTGAGTCAATCGATCTTTAACTCGAAACCAGGAAGTGCGTGTTCCTCGAACATGGAGCGAGTCCACATTATTAGTGCAACAAGTCCTTATACTACTCCAGGATTTTCCTCACAGTTTCTTCGTAAACTCCGCTGTGCTCCTTGGCGTTTATGCGGAATGACCTCACCGTTGGTTGGAAAAAGAGAACAAGTTCCATGATTTTATCCAGATGCCTTTGTGAAGTAACCGTCCGCATTGCAGGAATGGTCGTTGAACAGTAGCACGTAATATCCCTAGTGATTGAGAAACGTCGTGAAATGGACCAGTCTTCGAAACAGAAGAAACAGGTCTTTGGTGACTCTCTGTGCTTGAGTGTAGTGGATTCATGATTGAAACCTATTGTTATACATTGTGCACAGCATCATTGGAAACGGAATTCTGCCCCACGCCAGTTTGGGTTATTTTCCTGACATAACGATCGATCTTCAATCCACTGTAAGGATGAACGCTCAGTTGGAGCCTTCTGAATGATTATTATGCAAAATGTTTATGATATGTGGCTGACGAAACAGCCTCGGAATGTATAATATCAGCACATTACATAACGAAACTAAGGGAACAACTGTCTACCTCGTAAGGATCTGTTTCTCCTTAGTTCATACGGAAATTTTTAATGAAGGCAGTTTATTCACGAAGGCGAAGTAGTCAGCTAATCAACGGTATTCCATATGCAACGAATGCACAGTAAGCAAACCTGCTTAGCGAAATCTATGTCTAGATGCCTGGGTGCGCTGTTCGTTTTGGATAGAAGTA